TGACAATTAGATTAGACTGTGCAGAAATTGAAATCTACACACTATACTCATAGTCACCAATGCTGATGTTGTTAACATTAATCATTTGAGAATAAAGTATAACAATAATAATAATTTGAACGGTTTGATGTGATATGAGCTAACCGATCTTTAGATTTAATCACCATTAGTAGCGAGATTTATGGTAGGCCTAATGCTTTTTTCCTCAGTTGGTCAGAACAAACGTGGCAGACTTGTTCAGATGGCAATATCCGGTGAAAATTCTTATTTGGGTCATATATTCCAAGACGTAGGCTAGAATCTGTGATTGCGAAGTACAGTAAATATCCACACCGGTGAGGTGACTGACTGTACATACCATACATACATACTCTTCAGAACATTAGATTCATACGCGCTGGAGCCGTGCCGACTGACAACCCACGCAAGCTAGATAATTCCGCACACAGCTGCAATCACAAGGTTATGGCCTCTCTTGTTCAGTATACAAGGAACTATAGGACAGTTAGGAAATGATAACAGTAACAATATTAACTAAGAGTTTTCCCTCAATAATCTCCTAATTTGCTGCTTATTGATAGTAAGTAAGCTAGTTGTTGTAGTAGTTGTCATAGTTTAGGTAAGGGGTAGGGTTAAGGGATCTAGAATATGGTCATGCAGAACAAGGCATTAATGTGTGATTTATTTTAGTACTAGTAATAAATAAAGTACTAATAAACAGCCAATATGCAAGTAATGTGCATGCTAATAAGCAACTAGTTAATAGTGAATAGTGTTCCCTAATCTAAAGTATTACTATGATAACTGATGCTTTTATGCAGCGAAAAGAGGACATCCACAGGATGACCGATTATAACCTGTTATTTATCCAGTAGCTGAGGCTGAGATGCTAATCCAGTTGATTGCAGTGGCTGCCAGCTTAATTGGATTGTGCTTACAATCCGTCAGAGCAATACACAAATACCTCTGACCTTCTACCAGGATTCCAGGGCTTCTCCCTCTGATTGTGCACTACAGTAACCCCAAGGCAACAGAAAGGTGCATCACACTATTTCTGTAGTGGTACGGTCTCTGGGTGAAGCCAATTGGTTAGCAAATAATGGTGGGATGATTTTGCTTAGTGCACCTGATGTGCTGCATGTGACAGATGAGAGAGCTATTCCTGGCCATGAGGGACTCCAGGGTTACTTTGAGTCAAGATCAAGTGTGTGTGATGAATAAATTGAAACAGAAATGCTATAGAACCACATGCCATGGTATTAAATCACAGTTTCATTATTTATTTCTTTTTTTAAAAACAAATCTCTGTTACTCTGTTATCATTATTACTCTTATAATGTACTCATGTTGCACTGGGTTTAATCAGATGAGGGATATGTATGCATAAATGCCTCACAACAACATTCAAATCGCTTGGCAAACACAAATTCCTGTGACATGGGGTTAGATGTAGGTTTACCCAGTAGTCAAATGAAGTGCCTAAACACATTCACATCCTACACAACTAAATCATTTAGAGACTCAGCAATGTACATAACATTCATGTTTATTTTACATATAGCCTTCCACCGGTGCATGATTATGACAGCAAAGGTACCACAATGAATATAGCCGAGCTTAGTTATGATTTAAGAGGACAAACTGGATTGTAGTGCAAATAGTTTTACCATTTACTGCAATTATCTGAAAGCTGGGACCGGGTGCACATCACTAACAGCAAAGTATAATCAAATGTGCAATTCAAATCAAAATTGCTTCCATGTCAATGTCTCAAGCAGCTAATTTGCTCTTTTTGACCTATGAAGGAGATCTCATTGCGTAATGGAGCCATCAAGCTATTAGTCCTCCCTGGCACACACTTCACTTTCTCCCATGCAGCTCTTACAGCATGACATCTAGGGGATACTACTACAACACAAGGGATCAAAAAATACCAGAGGAGGAGAAGGACCACAGAGTTCACTTGGGTCTTTTACATGCTTCAGTAGGCTGGGCATAGATATTATTTTCTGTGACTTTCACCCATACAGGAGGTTACTCAAGGCTGTGTGAGGTCCTTTAAGGGCTTTTAAATGCTATTAAAAGCTTGACCCACACAAACATTGTGAACAATTTAGTTTTTAGGTATGGCAGAACAGCATAAGAGTTTCAAACTTCAACATACACTAATATACTTTAAAAGAAAATACTTAAATGTGAAATGAACGTAATGTTTTTAGATACTAAATTGCATGTCAGTTGCAATTAAATGAAAATGTATTATAACTTAAATTTATATTAAATGCAATTAGCTGAACTTAATGCTTTTGACCAGTCTTTGAAATATGGTTAAAGTGTACTGCCGAATGTACTGACAAGAATTTATGGTAAACTAAATTATTCTTAAATGTCATTTCTAATGAAAATTGTGTATCATTTAAATATATTTGTGATTACACATTTGTAATGATCAGTGTTGGGGAAAGTTACTTTTAAAAGGAATGCATTACAATATTGCATTACTCCTTAAAAAAAGTAACTAACTGCATGACTTTTTATGGAAAGGAATACGTTATGTTAGCGTTACTTTTTCCTCATCTGGACAAGGCTTACTTGTTTTGCTTTAATATCAAATTTAAACTAAATTAAAACTGAATATTTAATTACTATAATACATCAAAAGTGCAAAAGGTTAGTCAGAAATATACATTTACATACAAACTGACAACCAAACAACTTTCAGACGCCGTTTTTATTTTTTTTAGCTCAACCATCACTGAATGGAACGATTCGGATGTGCCTTGATGCCTTCCTACCTTTGAACGCGTCCTCCGAAGGCAGCATTTTTCAGTTTTCAGATGCAGCCCATGGCTGAGTCTTGTTTTGCTGTTAGCGGACATTTCTAAGCATTTCCTTGTTTCCTGTTTGCCTTGCCCCTGTGTTTTTGACTTTGGATTGTTCCCTGGTTTCTGTTCGTTTGCTGCCTGCCCTGACCACTGCCTGTTATTTGGATTACTCTCTTGCTTGCCCTGGGATATTGTTGTTTTGCTGGTGTTTGACCCTGCTTGTTTTGACTACGCTCTTGCATAAAGCTTGCATTTGGATCCCCTACTCCTTTGTCACGCCGTCCGTAACACTTTCACATTTTTGCTTATTCGTAGGGTTGAATTGGATCATCAAAGGTCAGCAGCAAGACATTGGTTAATAAAATGTGATAAAAACTTAATGGGATCAAATACTTATTTGTATAATTTAACATATTCAATTATTGCAGGTTTGTGTCATATTCTGAGTTTGCGTTACTTTAGTAGTTACCTGAAAAAAGTAATCTGATTACGTAATTCACATTACTTGTAATGCGCTACCCCCAACATTGTAAATGATAAATTGCAATTTAGTACATTTACAATACATTAACTTTAAATGAAATATTGAATACATACTAAACTTAAAATTATAATTAGAATATATTAGAATAAACTTCACTCTGTGCTGACCAAATGCCCATTAAATAGCCATGAAGTTGTGGTAACGACTTTGATAGATAGGTTCTGAGAAGTTTTTTCAGGTTATAGAAATGACACCTGAAACAGATCGATCACTCCTGCAGATTGCAATATTAAATATTTATGATACAATCATTGGCAATGAATACATTATGTGAGTGTTCAATTATAACACTTTCAAGGAGGCCTAATATTTGGAAGAAATTAAGTCTTAGAAATTTAATGGCAACATTTAGATATAACGATCAAGATATTTAAACAATATTATAATTAGGGGTTGCACCAACTAATAGACTTCAATGCTCTGCCATGACGCTTTAAGCTTAATGTCGACTAGTCGCTGGTCCTATAGAGGGCACAACAGGATAAGAAATCTTTGAAGGACTTCCACATTTACGCCCAGTTTCCAAACAGTTAAAATGACAAATAAATGCATACTCTGAAAGTGCTCTACAAGACATGTGAGATTATATTACTGGATGCTCAAAATTAAACAATCACCGTTCTAATCTAATGCGCTGCTGCACTGTAACGCACACCCATTACAGACAGTAGCTCGTACACAGTGGTGTATTGTAACGAAGTAATAATACTTCAGTACAGTACTTAAGTATTTTTTGGGAGTATCTGTACTTTACTTGAGTTTTTATATTTCTGCCAACTTTTACTTTTACGCCACTACATTTCCCTGAAGCATATTCGTTACTTACTACAAAATAGTCAGAAGTCAGAAGAACAGGGACTGCAGGAAAGCAGGTTTGACGACCATAAAATTGTGGTAACGACTTTGATAGATAGGTTCTGAGAAGTTTTTTCAGGTTATAGAAATGACACCTGAAACAGATCGATCACTCCTGCAGATTGCAATATTACATATTTATGATACAATCATTGGCAATGAATACATTATGTGAGTGTTCAAATTATAACACTTTCAAGGAGGCCTAATATTTGGAAGAAATTAAGTCTTAGAAATTTAATGGCAACATTTAGATATAACGATCAAGATATTTAAACAATATTATAATTAGGGGTTGCACCAACTAATAGACTTCAATGCTCTGCCATGACGCTTTAAGCTTAATGTCGACTAGTCGCTGGTCCTATAGAGGGCACAACAGGATAAGAAATCTTTGAAGGACTTCCACATTTACGCACAGTTTCCAAACAGTTAAAATTACAAATAAATGCATACTCTGAAAGTGCTCTACAAGACATGTGAGATTATATTACTGGATGCTCAAAATTAAACAATCACCGTTCTAATCTAATGCGCTGCTGCACTGTAACGCACACCCATTACAGACAGTAGCTCGTACACAGTGGTGTATTGTAACGAAGTAATAATACTTCAGTACAGTACTTAAGTATTTTTTGGGAGTATCTGTACTTTACTTGAGTTTTTATATTTCTGCCAACTTTTACTTTTACGCCACTACATTTCCCTGAAGCATATTCGTTACTTACTACAAAATAGTCAGAAGTCAGAAGAACAGGGACTGCAGGAAAGCAGGTTTGACGAATCAATGGTCTAGCGTCTGCAAGTTAGACTCCTAAAAACACCTTTGCTCATGTGCAAACAAGTGCGCGCACAACCGCGGATGATTCATTTTCCACTCAAGTCGAGTCTGGGGTCTGTGATATACAGTATATCTTCTGCGATAATATGGTAAATGTTGTTGTAATGATGTGCGATCTGACATTATCAAGTAGGCTATATCACCAAATCACACACAGAGTGCACGCATGTGATTTATTTGTCTATTAAAACTCAAAATTCCAGTAATAAGTGACTTACATTTTAGAAATAATATTGCTTGTTTTTGCTCAATTTTGCTAACGAAAATAGTTCCAAACAAAGATCACAGCACTGTTTTGCGTCTCTGAACAATGGACGGTGTTTACTTTACTCAACGAATCGGTTGAATATGATTCAGTGATTCAGTCATTAACGCAGTCAAAGTCTTTGTTTCTGAATGAATCAGTCGTTTGAATGAATCGGTTGAATCTCAATGACTCACTCATTAACAGTCGTTGCTGCATGACCAGTTTGAAAGTTCTGTGCGACTACCACTAGGGGGAGAAATGCGACAGTCGTGTCCGAATGTCGTGTGCAGTTGAAAGGCGACTTAACACATTAGCTGCATACATGCTTCAGTCTAGGTGTTCAGCCCAAGGCTCTGAAAGCTTTGATCACTGCTGTAGTCTGCAACGGTACAAAACACCAGGATCAAATCGGCCCTGTCCACATCTGCTTCATACCTCCCCAATGTGACATCATCATGATTCTATCCCTGATCATTTCATGACAAGATCTTTTTATCCATGCCCGGCTGTTTGCTAGTCCAGAGCACTTGCTGCCTGTCTCTGATGCTGAATGCATGATATGAAAGCAGGGCTGTGTGTTGAGCATGCTGTTCTTTTTGGAGAAGGCCAATAAAAGCTGATGGCAATCTAAGAGGATTGAACCAAAGTCGATGAGTGAGCCACCAGAACAATGAGCCTGTTGGCTATGGGACTTGGACTTATGTATATTTCATGACAAGAAGCGACACTGGAGTGTGGCATTCTGTACTTCAGGTAAAAGTTTCTACATTTCAGACTATAATTATTTACAATGGAGTACAATCTGAATGAACGAGTCCAAACTGACTTCAAGAGGAATAATTGAAACAGAAATTAAAATTAAATTTTTTTTCTCTCTCGTGTCATACATAACTTGCATTGTTATGTAAGAATTTTTTTCCATATGGAAAATGGTCATTTATGGAAAGAGCATAATTATTATTATTTTTTTATTCTTTAATTCTCATACCAATTACCTGCATTTCCCTGACTGAGCATGAAAAACAAACATTTTCAGTGTTTTTTTGTTTGTTTGCTTTGTTTTTGTGGCAGAGTGCCACAAAATGGAACACTTCAGATAGCAATAGTTATTATTAATTATATTAATTAAATTTATTAGAAACAAATCTTTAAAATGTGATAATAATAATATATTATTTTAATATATAATAAAGGTGTGCACATCAAATAAATAAATAAATAAATACAGCTCTAGAAATGTATTTACCAAACAGTGCAACATTTCAAACAGTCAGAACTTTATCTGGCACAATGATGAAATTAAAATGTATTAAACATTTGTGTCATTTTGCATTCTAAAGACTGGACAGAAATCATTACATTTATCTAGAAGTAAATAAGTAAGTATGTATGTTTTTATTTATTTATATATATATATATATACAGTGGGGCAAATAAGTATTTGATACACTGCTGATTTTTCAAGTTTTCCCACTTACAA